TCGTCATTAAAATATTGGCAGCTACATTAACACTAAATGACTGAATATAAAGAAATAGCATCACCTAGATTGAAGTTATCTGTCTTCGTTTAGTAGATTGCATGAGCCATCAATTCCCTACCTGCTCTAGCACACAGATACTAGATGCTAGAGCTGGTCCATGGGCAGCTGATGGACCAGGGTCACCAAAGAGCTTTGAAAATTCAGAATCTCAAGGCCTCCACTGGACACAGTCAGAATCTGCATTTTAGTGTGGCCTCTACCTGACTTTTAGGTACATTAAAGATTGCAAAGTTTGGCCTGAAGTTGCTTTTAAGTGTCTTCTCGCACACTGTCATCTAGTCCAACACTTCAGCCTTCCAACCAGTGTATTATCTACCTACCTCATTGTCATTTGTCTCACACCCTGTCTCTCTCATAGTTCTTCTCATGTTATTTAGAGATTTTTATGCATTTTTTGCATCAATTGCAGAAAAGGGTGCACTGAGCCTGGAGCAGGAGCATAACAATAACCAAGTCTAACAGAAGCTATTACCCAGGTGGTACATGGAGCTACCAGCCATTCTGCAAGCAGCATTCTGTTTGACTGCAAAGAAACACACACACACACAAACACACACACACACACACAAAAAAAAAAAAAACCCAAGAAACCTCACATTTTCTCTGAGCGATGTTCAAGGTGTTTGTAGTAAGTCAAGTGTTCCTGGAAATATCCACACTTGGAAATGGTGGAGGATACCCTTGAATCCACAGCCAACCAACTTTGCATTCACAGATTACATTAACATGTTAAACAAGATGGAAGTAATCCATTTAATTGTGTTCAGCACAAGTAATTTTATGTTTTTGTGTTTTGTTTTGTTTTGTTTTTTCCAGTACCAGGAATCGAACTCATGACCTTGTGCTTGCCAGGCAGGCGCTGTGCCGCTGAGCTAAATCCCTAGCCCCAGCACAATTTTAAAACATCATAAAGTGCTTTCTTCTTCTTTCCTCCCTAACATGCACTCGAATTGGGCAAAACTAGTCCTTGGCGGAACACACTTTGGGAAATGTCAGTGCAGAGGTTCCTCCCACTGCCTGCATGGTTAATTAGCTCTGAAGTTTGGAAAATCTGCTTATGTAATAGTGGCTATACCTCTCTGCGGTTGCACTGTTTTAGAAGTAAAACAGTGCTTTGATTCCAAATATTAAATTAAATCAGGCATTGCTCTACTACTCTGTCTCCCAAGCTGTGACTCAGATGTCAGCACAAATTTTTTTCCCTAGTTAGGGAAGGAATTAAGCTCCCTGACCATAAAAACATCAGTAAGGCACCTATTGAGTAAGCCACTCTCCCTTGTTTCGTCTTCAATTTCCTAAACATTTCATATATACTTTGCTTTTCTTAAAGCATGGTCTGTGGTACAGACTCCCCCTGCATGCAAGTGGAAGAGGCCATGTTTTTTCAGGATGCACTTGACAGTGGTATTTCTGCAGTCACTTTTAATTGAAACTTACTACTGAAGACTTGGATTTAATGTTTACTTCAGGCTTTTTCTTTTTTATAATTATTTAAATTTATTGATACAGTTTATATATATATATATATATATATATAATAATCACATTCATCATAGGGAATTTGTACCTGTACATGATTTGTCTTGATTCTTTTTTTTCCTGTTCCCCTCCCCTCTCTTCAACCCCTCTTGCCCACCTTATTTACAAAAGCTCTGTGTCCATTTTATCCTTCTTTTCTAATTTTTTTCTTTGCCCTTCCTTCCTTTCCTTCCTCCCTTCCCTGGTGCCATTTCCCATGTAACATTTTCTTCCTATTTCATAATATCTATTATAATTTTTGTTCCTTATTCACACTTTTAGTTTCTCACACCAGAGAAGCACTACAGTATTTACACGTGTGTCTGATTTATTTCACTTAAGCATATGGTCTCAAGGTTCATTAAGCGGTGAGAGGAGAAAAGTGCCCTTCTCCACTGTTGGTGGGAGTGCAGACTGATGCAACCACTGGTGAAAATCAGTGTGGAGATTCCTCAAAAAATTAGGACTAGAGGTTCCATTTGACTCAACTATTCCCCTTCTTGGTATCTGCCTGAAAGAATAAAAAGCATCATTCCACAGCGATATATGCACACCCACGTTTATAACATTACAGTTTGTAATATCTAAATCATGGAACCAGGTCAAATACCCATCAACTGATGAATAAAGAAGACACGGTATGTGTGGTTTTTTTGTTTGTTTGTTTTTATATATCAGTGAACCTTTCTCTGTAAAAATGTGTTTTGAGCTTTATTGAGATATAATTCACATATAATGCCATTCACCCATTTGAAATGTATACTCTGGACATACTAAAAACCATTTGATCATACATTATTCAAGTTAAGAATCTTAGTTTTTAATAGGGCTTTAGAATAGGAACCACAGTTCCACAAAAGTTATGTGAACTTCTTCAAGATGACTTAGTTAGTTAAATATAGAACTGGGAAAAAACTGACTTCTGTAATGCTTTTGTAAAGTGTCCCTTATAGAATACAAATTTTTAAAAGTTTCCTTACGGTTAAGTATGAGAAATACTATGTTTGAAAATATGATTTGCTTCTGAGAAATCATTATTTAGGTATGTCAAATTTAAAAATTTCATCTAGAATCATAGATCTGAATTATAGACAGATTGAGTGAAATATACTGTTTTTCTTATAATAAAACAGCTCCAAAAGCTGAGAATACTGAACATATGTTGGTCACAGTGAAGTTTTCCAGTTATATTATGCTAAATTGGGAAAGACTGTAAAGTCCTTTTCTGGACTCAGTGTGGAGTCACATGGATGGATAGAGAGTGAAAGGTGAAGAAGTAGGGCCCTTGCTTGGGTTTTGACCAATATGGGATGATGTTCCTTTAAGCTTAGTTTATGTATTGGATTCATTTCATTTTCAGAGCAGAAGTCTTGTCCTATGTGGTCAAGTCATGGGATTATTTTTCCTCTCACTACCTTTCATCATGAACAAAGACTGAAGGTCTATTCAAAGTCTTTTGTGCAATAAATGCCTCTGTTTGTAATGCAATAAGCAATTTTGGGGAGTTTGGAAATCTTTTGTTTATGAGTCTGAGAAAATTTAGATATCTTTTTGTATATATGACCTCAAGGAAATTATTTAACTTTTATATCTCAAGATTTTTTTTTTTTTTTAACTTTAGAAATGTTGAGAATAGAACCTTCTTTCTTGGAGGGATTGTGATGATTAAGTAATAATGCAAAGTTTTTCTCCCAGTGCTTCTGTGTTTTGTACGTCTCACTAGTGACTTTTTCTGTAATTCAGGCTAAGGGCTTATCTACAGATATAAGGGGTTTTTTTTGTCTGAAAGTTAAAGGAAAAATGTTTGACTATACTTTCCACTGAAAGAAGACTCAGAAATAAGAGTGTATAATAATATAGAAATTTTTTAGTGGCCATCAAGACCTATTGTTGTTTTCAAGTTGGACTAATTTTTAGAGATATATTATGTGAGTTTCATATTAGCCAAGTAATTAGAAGTAATGGGTATTCTATTACTAATTTTTTAAAAGTTAATGTGTCAGGAAGAAAGGAAAGGCTCTTACTAGGTTATATAGCAATTTTCTTAGCAATAACATAAACGTACTATGGCCTATAAAATGATTTTACGTGATTTGTGCCCTATAAAGTGTTAATTTTTCTTTCAAGTGAATTGTTGACTTAGTGTTCAGTACATATTTCTCTGACATTTAGTTTTAATTTAGAAGAATTTTAATGAGTCTTGACCCTTTTATTAAAATGAATTGAGCTTGGAAAACACTTTAATAAACTCAAGAACACATTTGTTTTGTTCAATAAATTCTAGAAACTCTTTAAAAATATTAATGAGCCTTTGATGATTAATTAGGTGGGCCATACTTAATTAGATGGAATGTATCATTGATAGTGCTAAGGAAATTTTCACTTCTTTATTGATTTGTAAATTTACACATATCCAATGAACAAATACTTCTAACTTTTACTACTTTAACCCCCTTCTGTTCCACTTATATTCAAACTCCTTTTGAATATTAACCATTGAGATAAACAGCCTTCAGAATCCTCTTCCAAATGATAGCGTCTCTTACTTAGGTATGTCTTAAGAATCTTAATTAAATCTCTCTCTATTTTTATCCACATACCAACTATATTTTCACTGTTTTTTCCACAGTAAAGAGTCTAAAAACCCAACATCTCTTCCCTCCTGAAACTATCTTCCTGTTCTACTTATTCTTCCACATTTACCACCATTCAAGCCTTAATTTAATCCCCACCTTTTCTTTCATATTCTCCCTCTATCTAGGTATTTATTATCATTCCTTTTACCACTTGAAACATCAATCATATCCATTAGTAGTTTGATATTTAGCATCTATTTTCTTTGTTGGAAATGTTCTATATCTCTTTCATTTAAAAAAAAAAAGATATTTTCTTTTACAAAGATCTCTGCCAATACCCCGGAACCTAATAAAAATTCAGTGACGATGGTGATCTGAAAACCAAAGTTCCACAATGTTCAGATGTACTTTTAGATATACTTTTAGATGTATATGTACTTTTATATATTCTGATATAATTTTATCATCAGAATTTATAAGGATATAAATTCTAAATGAAAATTAATCATAATGAAATTTAAGATGAAGTAATCTTAGAATATGTTATTTGACAAAGTGGAAAACTACCACAGAGTTTAATTAAAACTCCACATTGAAGGAGTACAGGCGTATAGATGAGAAAGAAAAAAAAACCCTCAGGAATTCCACCTCCCGCTGCCCTTACCTGAATATCACACCTCTATAAGAGCTTCATGACTTGGCAGCGTTCACAAGTTGTCATGGTTTTGAGTGTAGTCAAGGACAAAATTTTGTGGTAGCTGGACCAAGAACACTCAGGTGTCAATTATTTTTCCATACAAAAAGACACAATTGACTTTAAATATCTGATCAGCTTTTATTTTGTCCTGGTACCTCATGGACACAGATTCAAATCCCATGTCTGCAACTGTTAAACTATAACCTTTGGCAAATTATTTAATTTCCCATGTTCCCATCTATAAAATGGTACAAAAATATCAACCTTGGGATGAATGCATGAATTAAATACAATAAAGTGCAAAGTGTTCTCAGTACTGTTCCTGCAATAGGATCCTTTAACACACAGTAAAGCGATGGGAGATTTGCAGAATACTTTTATTCATGTTTATTCCATGTCCAGCCACAAGACTGAATTAAATTTTAATAGAACATCTTTATGTATTCTATTTTAGCTTAGTTGTGATCATTAACATAATGCCCAGTCTCTGTGAATATCCTACATGAAATACCATTGAGAAAATCAGTATATAAATAGTCTTCTTAAGTGCCTTGTACAAAGTCACTGGAGGCAAGAACTACAATGGAGGATCCCCTGAACATAATGAATTTCCCAGTATAACAATGTATAAGTCTTAGGAGTATGTCTTTTATTTTATTATAACAATCGTGAGCCACTTTTGCCTATTAGAGTGAGCCATCTAAACACCTTCTGTTCCCAAGCTCTTGGGCTTGAGCTACACTTTCTTATAGCAAATATTTTGCAATTTGCCATATATCCAGCTCCCTGAGGGTCAGAGCAATATCACGTTAATATTTAAGTGCCATAGATGACCCAGAATGGTGCTTAGCAAAGGTAAATGCCCACAAGTGATAATTAGAACTGACTCTTTAAAAATTGAGAATTTTTCTTTTTCTTTGAAAGTGAGAAATTTTCAAAAATTTGATTTTTTAATCACACCAGTTTGCTGCATCTGAATTATTTCTTTGAACTTGGAGAGCTGAGGTTCCCCCCCAAAAATTTGCTGCTTTATTGCATTTCTATTTTCTAGTTTTTCATCTTGGTGTGCATTTCTACTTTTTTGTTCTTATACTTTGTGCATTTCTTACGTCTCTTTCCACCAGTTGTCAAACTTCTCCCTTTTCAATCTGCTACTTCAGGGTTCCTTTATCACATATCATTTGACAATATATTTTCCTACACCTGATTGTATCATTTGCCAGGTGTTTTGGTGTGTTTTCCTAAACATTGTCTAGACCTCTTAAGAGAAAATAAGCTCTTTGAGAGTAAGCATTATACACCTGTTTGTACAACTTTCTAATGTAGCCGTCTAATCCTCAATACTTTCTAGAAATTCATACACATATATATATATACGTAGAAATGCATATACTATGTGTAAGATATAGATCCCCTTTTAAATTCAATAACGAACCTTGACACTGTGTCGCAAATTAATGAAAACCCTTTTGTTTTGATGTACATTCTCTAGGAATAAGAATAATCTCCTTAACACCTTTCTATTTTAAATATGTGCATAGTGAATTATGATTAAATCCTGGCACACATGTCCCAATGAACTGTTGTAGGTGTACTTGCAGGAGATGGACCAAGAGACTGACTGATCCGGGGCTTCCAGGAGAACCTCAGGGGACCCCTCATTAAATGTCACATTGTAAAGGCAAGACATTGAAATCTAAGATGGAGGAATGAGGAGTGAGGGGAGAAGAAACCTGTAAAATTGTTCTAACGTAGAAACTGCCCTGCGCATACCCCCAACTTATTGACTCAGGACTCTTCCAGTCTTCAGGTAAAATAGACTTAGATCCAAGAGGTGCGATCTGATTTCAATCTGAAAGTGTTCGGTACATCACTAGACTGCTGCGGACATCCTACTGAAGGGCTTAGTTCTTGTCCAAGGCTGCAGTCCTGCCTGCACTTCCAGTGTCCGCCTGATGGCACTTGGCTGGCTTACTCGCTTGCTTGACTTGTTTGTTATACTATGCTGACTTTCTTCCAGTGACGAAATAATTTATTTTGTTTTAATCTTCTTCTGAATAAGTTTGTTGCAGCTCTATTCCCTGCATCTTAAATGCTTTAAAAGCAGTGGAATTATGAAAAAGCTAGATTTATTAAACCTTTTATATTTGAATACCAACTTATTTATAACATGCATAATTGACACTTTGAAATTATTTTTAACTATACATGAAAACAACCTGTCCATTTGGAGGGGAATGAATTTAAGTACGAAGAGATTGCAAACACCACTCATCATGGGTCTAATTTACATTGCTTGGTGCTTTGAAAGCTTTGTAATTACCAAGCTGGTAGAACACAAAAGCAACCCTAACATATTTCATGTGAAGTATTTTGAAGCCTCTTTCGGATTTCTAAAAGGAGGAGGGGAGAGTCCATCTTATTCTGTTGGGATTTGTCTTGTAAGGTGCATTACAACTGCGTTTAGTAAGCAGGGAACCATTTCTCTGTGTCTAGCTAGTGCTTATTTATTCTTTCCTTATATAAAAAAAAGACTAGCAATTTTCTTTTATGAACGTAGACTGTAGGGAGATAAATAGCCCTTGTGGTGGAGGAAGGTCAAGTTCAAAGTTTTTCTTTCCTCTGGATTCCGGAGTAAGCAAATGGAAAACCTGGCCAAACAACCCAGCAGCCGGCGTCTGAGGGCTCAGCCCTCCCCCTAGGACTTTTATGTACATAAGCAGAAGTCACTGGGCAGCTGCGGCGCATTAGTTCCGATAGTTTAGCAGGCTGCTTTGTAGCACTGACAGCAGCGCAGCAGCCGCGCCTGGCTTCCCCTCCATGTTCCCTGCTGCGAGCAGTCGGTGATCTCCGCAGGGGCTGGGAGGGAGGGTGACGTCGGGCAGGCTTCCGCTCGCCGGGTCCGCACCCAGCCCTGTCTCCAGGGGACACTGAGGCAGGCGACCGAATGAACTAAGAGCAGCTGGATCCGACCTGCTTCCCTGGGCTTTTCCCGGACTCCTTGCGAAGGAATCGCTGGAAAGAGGCCAGGCAACCACGTTGCCCTGGATTCCTGCCAACTGTACAAAGTTGACCAGGAAAATGGCTCAGCAGGCAAGCCCGGACACCTTAACAGTACCTGAGGTGGATAATCCGCATGGTCCAAACCCCTGGCTGAACGAGGATCTTGTGAAATCCTTGCGGGAAAACCTGTTGCAGCACGAGAAGTCCAAGACCACAAGGAAATCCGTTTCTCCCAAGCTCTCTCCGGTGATTTCGCCTAGAAATTCCCCCAGGCTCCTGCGCAGGATGCTTCTCAGCAGCAACATCCCCAAGCAGAGGCGTTTTACGGTGGCACATACGTGGTAAGCTCCCACGGTCACCCGGAGATGGCAGCTGTTGCCCCCTCCAGGCTTCTTGCTCCAGCCGCCCTTCATTTGGGGGGTGGGGAGGGAGGATCCTCATCATTCCTCACCTGTGATTTATCAAAAGTAATCTGCCTTAATAAATCCCACAAATGTCCAAGTCGGGGCAGGAATCCTTGAATAGGTAATAGAAGTGGTTGAGGTGAGTGCTTTTCAAGTTCCTTTGCTATTACAAGTTCCTACAAGAAAGCTGGATTCCAGATGTCAAACGAGAATGCACTTTTACTCCCATACCTATGTAATGGAATTTCTTTGATTTCCTAAGCCAGTGTCTCCCCTCCCCGGGCTTCTCTAACAGTTTAGGAAGGAAAGGACCAAAAAGGAGAGAAGAAAAGTCCTACTTAGCTCTCTTTTCTGCATAATCTCCATTTGATAATAGAGATGCTCATGGTATGTGTGTGTTGTGTGTCCCCCTCATAAAGCCTCTCCTTACTACTGACCTTATTATATTTATAACCTCAAACACGACTTTCAGAAGAAAAGAAAAAAGGAATTAGGAAGTCTGTGTAAAAACTTTCAAGCTGGTACACTACTTGGTGATATTGTTGTGGGGTTTTTTTGTGTGTGTGCATTTGGATTGTTTCAGTATTTTTTTGTTCTTATGAGTATTTTAATCTTCTTTATAATAGACAAAATTATTTTATGCATATGCTTCCATATATTTTCCTGGAAGACTCTTAATGTTTTCTTACTTTAAAAAAAAAAATCTAAGTATGAAAATAAGTCGTTGCGTGAGAGGTTACTGGGAGTTTCTGCTTGAGCAGAGGCACTTGCAGGCAGAGACCGGAGGTCTGCACATATTTGATTAATGTTAGGCTGTCATAGCAGCTTTGCACACTTTCACATTTTGGTAAGATGAGTACAAATCATGATAAACAAAGCATCATAACAAAGAGAAAAGAAGGAGTGTGTTAAATGAGAAATTGACTGAATGGTTTTTATACAGTTTTTCCACAGCAAATCAAAGTGTATGCTAGAATGGAAAAAAACAGAAACAAACCTTTATGGAAGGAAGCAACAAAAAATTAGAATCAGGAGCTAACCTAATGGCAAGGCTGTTCCTAGGAATATATTAATGTCATAGATGAAAGTAGATGACAAAAGAAGTAAAAGGCATGTCACACCCCAAGTTACGTCTAACCTCAAAATTTTAATTTTTAGAAGCTAAATTGCCTTCAACATTTTAACAACTAGATGGCATTAGTCTGAGTTTAGATGGATACAATGGTGATAGAAGGAATAAGACAGGCATTGGATTTTTTCAGTCGAGTAAATTACTGCAAAATGGTGCTTTTTCTCTGAGGAAGGTATTGTTGGAAATCTTTGTTACTAACAAGCAGTGATTTTTTTTTAACACTAGGAGATTCTCTGAAGAATAGGGTTGGCACAAGGCAAGGCTTCGGATGCCAGGGCAGGAAACTGGCTTCAGTTTATAAGGAGCCAGGACCAGAATTTTGGTATCCTATGTCCCTTTTGGTTGAGCTGCTCTATTATTATAGTTCCTAAATTGTACCCATTGCTGAATGGGTGAGCCTTAACTCAGCCACTTGATTCTAGTCTGAGAGAAGCAACCTAGAGTTCAGCTAAAGGTTATCTGAACTATTTACACATCTTGCAATGTGAGGAAGGCAGGAAATCTCATGAAAACCGGCTTTCTACTGAAATTTCTGGCACTTCCTTCTCTGGTGCTGTTTGGAAAAACTCCAAGAGCATGATTTGTACCGATATTTTATTTTGTTCTATTGGATCTCAGCCAGATCAGAGAGGCATACAGAGATCAATGGAAGTGGAAAATAAAAATTATTGTATCAATTCCCCGTTAACTTGGAGGAAATCATTTACCTCATAGACTCAACCCATCCAGCAAGGGACTTGGAGAGAGCATCTCAAATTTTCCATATTATTTCAATGAGCCCCAAGACTTTCATCACATAATATCCACAAGCATCTTTTGACAAATATCCCATCTGTGCTCTCAGATTTATACTAAGCTGTCTGCACAATTTTAAAAAAAGAAAAAACTGTTTCACATACACTTCTATCTAACTTGCTGTTACTACCACCATATTTACATCTGCTGCTTCTCCCTAAATTAAATTATCAGCACTGAAATACATGCCTTGCACGGTCCTGCCTCAGAATACTGTTTCCCGCAGCTGGTTCCCTTCCATTCAATATGCACACATTTAACACCTACTGTAGTTAAAGTGTTTATTTATACTTAGTGAATACAATGTTGAACCAGAAGTCATCCCTTGTTTTCAAATAATTCACACTGAGGTAGAAAAATTAAATCATGTTGGAAGTCTTCTACTTAAGTTAAGGTAAACTTGTTGCTGTACAAAATACACTACAAATCTCAGTGGATGACACAATGAGCATCTATTTCTTGCTTCTCCTTTTTGTGAGGATACTTCCTGCCATAGGGTGCTCGGGAACCTGGGATCCTAGCATCTTACAGTGGTACATGATTCTCAAGGGTACTAGCTCGGCTGAATCCAGGGAAAAGAGTACAGAGGATGGTGTATCTGTGTGTTTATAAGATGGGCCTAGAAACACACAGTTCACTTTGGTTTATTCTCCTGCATAGATTTTGCCTCTATGGCCAGATCTAAATGCAAAGGAAGCTGGGAAATAACTCATCTCTGGTCCAAGGAATAAAGTAAAACTAATTTAGCCCATTCTGGTCTTGGTATTTTAATGACACCCTGGATCAGCCTCAATTCTTAGAATAACATTGGTGTTGGCCAGTCTGTGAACTTCTCCCAAACCCTCCTCACTGAGGAGTGTACTGAATCAAGTCCTCTCCTTGACGGGTCTATTGACTGGAAGGACCTTGCTTATTATCAGTTGTCATCTCCTATCCTGTAACTGTCATCTGTGAGTATAGGAACTGCTCTGAGAAACCCTCAGCTTGACTCTTTGCTCATTTGTGTTATGTGGCCCTCAGTGCTTTGAGTGACCCACAAGCAAGCCAGGTCCCTGTTCCATTTCTTGGTACACCCATGCCTAACGCGATGGCTGGCCATTGGTGGATGTTTAGTAAATATCTGCTAAACAAATACAGTAATCAATATTTTAGTGTTCTCAGCTTTGTAAAAGTCTCCTCTTTGCTTAACTAAACACTTGTCATTTCATCTTTTAGTATGCTGTATTTGCCAAGTTAATCCAGGTTGTTCTTTTCTTCATACTGCATGTTTGCAGTACATAATGATTACATTCACTGTGGGGAGTTGGTCCATGTACAGAACACATATTCATTCTTTTCTATTGCCCTCCCCTCCCCTACTCTTCTCGCCCTCCATCCCCTGGTCTCTTTCTCTTTTGCAAAAGTTCTATCTCCCTGTCTCCTATGATCATCTATCTTTTATTTTGCTCTTTAACTTACTTACTCTTTGGGTTTCTCATATGAGAGGAAGCATATGATACTTAAGTTTATGCTCATATGCAAACTTCATTTGGGTTGTCGTGCAGCACATTGGGTTGATGCAGTATTCTGGGTGCAGTGCGACTTCAGCAGAGAGCATCAGCAGCCAGAAACAAGACTATAGATGATAGTCTGGTAGATAAAATGCTACCATAGAGTAGGTTAGACTATCTAATCTACTAAAGTTTAGATTCAGACTTTTGCATTTGCTATTGCATGATTTCAGACAACTCACTTCATGTTTGGGAAACTGTTTCCCAAATTTGTGAAAATAGAGGTTTCCTGAAAATTGGGAAGGTGGTTCTATTAAATATAGTTATATGTAGATTAAAATTTGTTGCACAGTGCTGGACACTTCCTGAGTGTCATAAGCAAATATTTTCCTTATTATGTACTACATGCCACCTTTGTAGCCTTGGTCTGCATGGACTATAGAATCATGTTTAAATTTCTAGATGATTATCCTAGCAACTATTTGTGGATAGATTGGTGTGGATATATGCAAAGAGATCCAAGAATTCGACACAATGCTGTCTATTGGCTTTATACTTGTAAGAAAGCAGAAGCCAGAGAGGAGGGGTTTTGCAAGACAGAACCATAGGGTGCATGCAAGCTCCATTTCCACACCTCTCCTGGGTCTCTGCCACTGCTGAGTGCTTCCTTGATGAAGCAGTCCCAGCTGGAAGCAATCTCGTCCTTCAAATTTCTGTAATGCATCTGACCTCTGATCTTGCTGAATGCCTATTGGTAAGATCTCTAGGTAATATGTATTAACCTAATTGGTATTAAGTCTGGCACTGTGTGAAGATTAGCGGTATCTTGGGTTCATGCTTGTTAGCACTTGTCTCGCCATTTTAATTGATATGTAGTACATTGTAGTCTAGTGATTGTATGCAGGACTCTGGTTTCATCTATGTGAGGAATTCCCTGTGACGTCAGCAGGATCTCTGAAGTCAGTGGAATCTCTGGTAAAGAACTTCCAGCACTAGTTTATCCCAGAAAAATCAGACAGGAAATTCTTTATGTTTTTCAGGTTTTCTCCTTTCTCAATTTGAGTATATTTCCTTTATGTCAGGCCTACATAAAGTCACAGATGAACAACTTAAAACTACTGGTTATAGTTTTGGGGAACTTAAAAGTGACTGTTTCATCATACTTAAAACATAAAACCTGTGTTCTTTCATCTCACATTCTTTTTAAAAGTAATTTTATATTAATGATAACCATTGTGACATTATAGCATTTTTCATATTTGTGTATGGAAAATGTCCACTCAGATTTTTTAAATGTTGCTATTGTGTCACTGTTTACATCAGATTTTTTTATGAGTGTGGTATCCTGGGGATTGAACCCAGGGCCGCCTCACGGGCATGCTACAGAAGTGTTACACCACTGAGCTCTACCCCAACCCCTCCACCTCTTCCTCCCCATTTAAAGAATAAGATATTATAGATAATGCTGAAGTCATCAGTCTTCCTTTTCCTCTTCTGGTGCATTCCTGGGAGATCCTGTA